GCCATCCTCCATTTCTTTGGTTCATGAGCTCCTTACATAGGACCCTGAACAGCCATCTTGATTTCCAGGATCATGATAATGCAGCATTTGGCTCTGTGTTATTTTGGTTCTGGAGGAAAAAAGTAAGGATAAAGACTGAAGGCTGTAGGGTTAGACTACTCATGTTCAAATATTAGCTGTGAGACCTGTTTGGGAATAGGAACAAGTAAATTATCTCTGTAATCCTGTTGTGTTTTCTTATCTTTATGTTCCTTTTACTTTTCTTATATTTTCAGAGTACCATAGTGATACAGATTACCCCTTAAGGTTGAGATAACAATTATTTGATATAATAAATTTAAAAATCCAATTAATAGATCCACTTTCTTCTTATCATCTCCTGAATGATAAGAAGAAATGCCATCACCATCTCCTGAATCAACGTAATAGTTGAACTTAGTGAGGAAGATGGGAAATAGAAGTTTTTAATGGGACATGTTTCATGGATGGACTCATGTGGCAGGAAGGTGGGATAGGGAAGTCGAATGCTTACCAATGTCTCCTTTCTAGGCACCATCTAGCATGAAATCTGTGCTCCAGGCAGCCTGGTTGCTGACAGTTGCAGTTGGGAATATTATCGTGCTTGTTGTGGCACAGTTCAGTGGCCTGGTACAGGTAAGGCTCTGAGGCAAACAGGAGCTCACGCCTACACAGTTTGCCCTCCAACTTCCTTGTCTCCCTTTTTCCTGACCTCCAGATACCCCGTAAGGGACAGGAAGGTTAGATAACAGACCTGACCAGCAAATAGATGTCTTATGTGACAACAATGACCACCATGAGCCTATTGACGGCAGGGCCAGTTAACCTAGTGTTCTGCCAAGAGAGTGCCTCAAGTGATTACTCCTTAGTCATCTTCCCAACCTGCCACTTCTTAAAGGTTTCTTCATAATTTTCTCTGTCGTTTATTTCTTCCTGCAGTGGGCCGAATTCGTTTTGTTCTCCTGCCTCCTGCTGGTGGTCTGCCTGATCTTCTCCATCATGGGCTACTACTATGTTCCTTTAATGTCAGAGGGGATCCACGAGCCAACGGATAAGCAGCTTCCTCATCCCCAGGGGAATATGATCAACCTCGAAACTAAGAATACAAGGCTCTGATGACTCATTGGACTCATAACCGCTTCCTAGCTCTGGTTTCAGCATCACTTATCTTCAAGCATATTTCCCCCTGCCACCACCAGGTTAGGACAAGGACGTAGCATTTTATCTGAGTGGCTCTTCTCCACTTTTCTACATAATAGAGACAATTCTAGGACTCGGTTTTCAGGTATATCTTTAGACAAGAATTCAAGAGACTCTCTGTCCTCTAGGCTATCAATAAGCTCTCTAAACATAAGCCAATGTGCCTCAAGCTAGCCCAGTACCTCCAAATGGTCATGAAAATACAAATGTGTAATACAGATAAGTCTCTGCGGGTATGCCAAGTTTAGGAGACTCCTTTATCAGGTATTTAGAACTGATAATTTCACTTGTTGATGTGTTGGTTTGGGGGGAAATGCAGAATAATAGAGGAATAGTATTTCAAGTTTCTTTATCTGTAGTATAATTGTGCTATTCATGAAGGTGTCAAGAATGGTATGTATGGTATGATCTAATCCAGAGGCTAGCTTGTCAGCCTTTAGTAAGTTTAATATGATTTTAGATGACAGGCTACAGAACGGTATTTTATCAGCTCATGAAAGATACATCTTTCTGATTACCACAGTGTTTCATCTACTTATCTGAACACCCCTTTCTCAAGTACTGACAAACCACAATTAAAAACAGTAAGCACAGATGTGGGGACACAGGAACACATATAAATTATTCTTTGTTCTTTAGTGCACATTCCTCTAAGGAACTCTAGTGTTTCTTCCCTGGACTGTGCTCTTCTGAGGACATCTGTCTAAGAAACTAACTCTGGACCCAGCCTGTTGCAGTATTGCAACAGTATTGCTGGGACAGCTTTATCTTGCTATTCATCTTATTTTGCTTATTACAGCAAATCTTCAGTAACAAAATGTTTTTTTTCTAGTTCAACTTCCTTTAATTTTTTTCTATTTAGCTTCTTTGTGGTGTATTTTTAGTTCTTCCATATTTTTTGTTTACATTTCTCCCTTTAGGCTTAGCAGTGTTCTGTTTATCGAAAAGGGATAACACTTCTATTCTAGGTTTGAAGCTCTAAATTGTAGTATTCAACAAATGGTCAAGGTCCTGCATGAGGAACCTGCCAAGATTGCAGGGGTGAGCAGAGCATGTGGGCTTTCTCTGTGTGCATGTGTGAACAAAAAGTGCTGGGAAACAAACAGTATCTCACATCCAAGTGTGGATCAAGGGACAAGTTTGGGACTATCGGGCTGTGTTATGCATTACTAGGGGAAAAAAATCACAACCCGTGTATGAAAGACCTCATTTCCCTCCTTTAACTACCTTGTTCCCATCTATAGCCAATGCTGGATTGCAAATTGTTGATAATGTAATATATTCTTAAGAGAATTTGCTCCAATTCCTTAAGCTTTAAATACTGCAGTTTTAATGGCTAAGGTTTTAGAAGCACAGAAGGGGTCGCAACACCATTGATTTCCCCCAGATATCCTATTGCAAACCTGTCCATATTTCTTCAAAAGATAATCATTTTTAAGCAGCTTTAACTCAAACTGTTTTTGTGAATTTTGTTTTAAGAGATGTTAACACTGATCTGTGAATAAATGTTTTTATGTACAAGTAAATTTGGGGAATGAGATATATTATTATCCTCTAAATATTATATTTGTGGGTAAAGGATCTAGGCTATCCTCAGTGAAGTCATAATGTCCCTGAATTATCTTAACATGTGGTAGTCTCTTCAGAAGAACCTTTATGTTGGCTAATGGCTTCATCAACAAAGCTTTCTGCTGTTGAACTGTGGACATAGCTCAGTGGTAGAAAACTTCCTAGTATTGCAGGTTCCCAGATCCAATTCCCAACACCACAGTTGAAGAGACAAACCAAAGACTGTCTTACTACACTGGTTCTATCCTTTACCACAAATGAGGCTAAACATAGCTTTCTCCTTGGGGTCTTTGGAGTGCTAGGGAGAGCATACCTTCAGTATGAATTCCACTAATTTCATCAAGCTAAATATTCTCAGAGTTCTTGTGAGAGGTTCCTCACAAAGTACAGCTCTGTCTTTTCAGCACAACTGCTTCGTTCTTCTAAAAATAACCCTTTATCTAAAATATAGCAATTAAGATATGTGATGCCTACAACCAACTACAGCATTCCAGAAGTCATCTGACAGACAAGGTTAGCACTATCCACTAACAAAGCATTTTTGTTAAACCAGGTAAGGTAATATTCGATGTTTCCTAAAATTATATCAGTGTGAGATTACTCCAAAGTTTTCAAAAGAATGCTATTATTCGTATTTTGAGTTCTTCTATGTGCCATTCATTGAATTAGTTGAGAGAGAAACAAGAAATTAGCAATCCACTTTATCGATGCTCAAAGTTGCCTGATGACTGAGAGGCTCTTGGGGAATAGATCCTTAGACAAGCAATGATACAGTGAGCTAGAGAAATAAACAGCACTGTAAGAGACAGAAGACTCATTTACAGGAATCTAGGAATCAAATCCCGTGGGGCCTTGAGACCATAGGGTTTGGGGAAATAACTCATAGGGTAACCTATTTGTTGTGCTAACATGAAGCCCTGAGTTTTGGGTCCCCGGTACCCACATAAAAGCTGGACATGACAACACAGCGCTAGAGGGGAGATAGATCCCAGGGTCTCACTGGCCAGCCAGTCTAGCCAAAGCAGAGAACTTCAGGTTCAGTGAGAGACTCAGTCTCAACATTAAAGAGTGATAGAGGAAGACACACTTCTATATGTGTGAGCCCACATGTACACACGTATTCACATTCCTTTATTGTTTTATCATTGTGGGGGGGTGCAGAAGCCAGAAGAGGACGCTGACTGTCCTTTTCCATCATTCTACAGTTTATTCCTTTGAGTCAGGGTCTCTCACTAAACCTGGTGCTAGGCTGGAGGCCAGTAAACCCCCAGGAATCCTCCTGTCTCTGTCCTTACATCACAGCACTGGAGTTACAGGCATGCACAAGACTATGGCTGGCATTTTACATGGGTTCTAGGGATTTGAACTCAGATTCTCATGCTTGTACACCAAACATGCTTAACCACTAAGACATCTCCGAAGCCCCTAGTTTTCCTTTTGAATAAAGTGTAATAATTGACATTCAAACCTCCAAAGCTTGACATTTGCAATTCAAAATCAACAGCAGATCGTTCACAGATTTAAAAAACTCTATCTTTAAAAAGTATTTATACACAAATGAACAACAACAGCAAAAAGCTCACAAGCAGAGAACTTTAAGCCCAGACAGGGAATGACAAATTACTCCATCTCAAGTGCTGGTCCCAGCACTTCATACTGGCTTCCTGGAGAACTCTGTTGTAGCCTCTCTGAGGCTTTGTACAAACTCAGCAGGAAAAAAAAAACAAAAAAACAAAAAACAAAACAAAACAAAAAAACAAAAAAACAAAAAAACAAAAAAACCAAGCGGGCACATCGAGGGCAGGGAAGTGGACCATGCTGGTTGTGCTCAACTTTCTATTTTTAACTTCCTCTGACAGCTCCTAGCTTTACCCACGCAGTTACAACAGCTATTCATCATTTTCCCAAACACTATGCAATTCTTCTCACTACAAATCTCATGGTTCTCATAACTCCTTTCCTCCATTGTCTGTACTGCTCTTGCCTGAACTTCCTCAAATGAGACTCCTTCATCTTCTTCCTGAAGTATGCTAACCACCGCTCCTACCACTTTGGAGCATGCACCAACCTCCTTTGCCTTATAAATGTCATGTGTGTAACTGTATGTTGTGTGAATTTCTGTTCTCACTTGTTGAAGACAATAAAAAAAATATTAAGTTACATGCAGTTTTGTAATTTGCTCAACACTGTCTGTTGCATGAGTCCAAGTCTGTGTATGCTTGAAGCCATCTTGGGAATGTTTGTGTGGGAATTGCTGCCCTGAGTTACATTTCCCTGCCCCCATTTGAGGTGCTTATCTGCAAAGAAAACATAACTTCCCTCTGCTCCTGGAGTTGGATAAGGAAGTTTGAGTGCATGTGATCATTCCTTGATCCCTGCTGGGGTCAGGTGACAGTCCCTACTGGGGTCAGGTGAAGTTTGAGTGCACGTGATCATTCCTTGATCCCTGCTGGGGTCAGGTGACAGTCCCTACTGGGGTCAGGTGACAGTCCCTTCGCAGCCCCCTCCTCTTTTGGTGCCATGGTATAAAAGCTAGCCCCAGCAGAACAATAAAGAAGCTGTTCCATCTCAACTTCATGTTCTGTGAATTCATTCAACCTGGACACCCTCCGCCGAGACTCATGGTTCCAACCTGCGCAGGTGTGGTATTTGGAGGTCCACCAAGATCGGAAAGAGAGGTTTGTGGACCGGGTCATCCTGTAGCTGGCCAGGATGCATTGGTGATTAAGAGATAATTAAGAAATAAGAGGTAATTAAGATAATTAAGAGATAATTAAGAGATAAGAGATAATTAAGAAATGGGGAATATCCCGGGTAAATCAGAGTTAAAGTTTCAGTTAAAGAGGTTGTTGAAAGAGCAGGGAACAGCTGTAAAAACTAAGACTTTAGAAGATTTTCTTAAAACTATAGAAACGTGGAGTCCCTGGTTCATCACCAGTGGAGCTCTCCATATTTCTGAATGTGAACAGGTTTGTGGGGATCTTCAAACAATTTTGAGAAAGGAGGGGCCTGAAGTCCTGCCAATAGCCACGTTCTCCCTTTGGAGACTGATCAGGGATGCTTTGCTTATAGAGAAAGTCCGGGTTAAGCAGGCCTTGGAAGCAACAAAAGAGGTGTTATCTGAGATTCAAGATAATGAGACTAAGGCTTCCCTTTGTTCTGATGTGGCCTCGGACACAGAGGCAGAACCGCTCCCTCAGCCTGCTAAGGGGAAGCCCGGTAAGGTAGAAGAGAGGAAAATTAAAAAGAAAAAAACCTCCAGACTGGGAGGAGGGAAATGAGTCACGGGACAGAGTTTTCTCTCAGAACTTAGGGGCTCGTCCCAAGCTCACAATTTTCACCTACTGGTGTTTTTTGGCAAGGGGAACCCATTTATTGGCTACATTTACCTGCTTCCCCTAAGAAGGTAGTGACCCCATATTATGAAATGGTGCTACAGCTTCTATGGAAAGCATATGATTTTAGTTTACAAGTTTTTGGCAGGATCCCAAATAAATTTCTAATCCCGTATCAAAAAGAGGAAATAACAAGACTACAGAGGGTTCAAAATGGATGGGCCTTGTTCATCGCAACCACTGGAGCCATTTTTGATAACCATTATCCTGATTCCCATTTAATTTCATTTTTTAAGAATCATCCTGTTATCTTTCCAAGAATTATTAAAATTTCCCCCCTTAAGGGAGTGCGCTCAGTGTTTACTGATGGTTCTTCTAAGGGCTATGCAGTGGTGGTCTCTGGTTCAATTAAAGAAAAGCAGCCCCTAAGTCCAATCTCTGCCCAAGCTGCAGAACTCACAGCTTGCCTTATGGTCTTTTCTCTTTTCAAGGATCAACCCTTCAATTTGTATACTGATAGTATATATGTGGCAAGTATTGTTGGGCCATTGGAAACCTCACCATACATATTACCTACCTCTCAGGTTTTCCACCTTTTGATTCAGCTACAAAGTCTTATATGCCAAAGAGTATTTCCTGCCTTTGTTGGCCACATTCGTGCCCATACTGATCTGCCAGGGCCTTTGACAGAGGGAAATAAGCTTGCAGATTCCCTTACCCGCCCAATGGCATTGTTCCTTTCTGAGGAACAACAAGCCCATCATCTTCATGAAAAGTATCATTTAATTGCCTCTTCTCTAAAGTTTCACTCTGGCTGTTCTCTAGCCACGGCTACTCAAATCACGTCCCAATGTCCAGCTTGTGCTCCATTTCATAATGCCCCCAATGAAGGTATTAATCCTCGAGGCATCCATCCTAACCACCTTTGGCAGATGGATGCTACCCATTTGTCTCAAGCTGGCAGACTTAAATTTTTACATGTCTCTGTAGACACTTATTCCAAGGTAATTTATGCCTCCCTACATTCAGGAGAAAAAATTAAGGATGTTATTGCCCATTGTCTACAGGCTTTTGCCTATATGGGCATTCCAGATTTTCTCAAAACAGACAACAGACCGGCTTATACAAGCCAACGGTTTGCATAATTTTGCCAAGAACATCAAATTATACATACCTTTGGAATTCCACATAATCCCACAGGACAGGCCATAGTGAAGCGCACTCATGCTACTCTTAAAGAATTTTTTTTTGTAAAATAAAGAAGAGGGAATATATCACCTCCCCAAATACCCAGTTATCTACAATTTTATATATTTTAAATTTTTTAACAGTAGATAAACGAGGTCTATCAGCAATGGAAAGACATTGACAGAAACCTTCCCAATCTCTTGGTTGGGTTAAATGGAAGGATAGTATCATGGGACAATGGCAATCACCCACACCCATGTTGGCTAGGGTGAGGGGAGCCATTTGCGTTTTCCTTCCAGGAACCAAAAAACCCATCTGGATGCTGGAGTGGAATGTTCAGCCAGTGGAGCCAGGCCCTACTGGTCCTGATAATATGGATTCAAGTGAAGAACATCGAGGGAGGCCTGAGATGGGCACTGGTGAGGAATCCACCC